GGACAAAGCAACTACGTCGGAGAAACTGGAAGACTGCTCCGGACGCGAATCGCCGAACACGTGGCAGCTGTACGGAGAAATGACACCAACTCTCAGGCCGCGGCCCATTCGACGAGACCCGGCCACACATTCAAGTTCGATGAGGCCGAAATTCTCGCGAGAGGGGATAATCGCGTGAGCCGCGAGTTGCTTGAGTCATGGTTCACGGGACCTCAGTCTATCAACAAGTGCAACGACATCCCCACTCCATATTCTGTCCTGAGGCATAGACTGGCCAAAGCAATTGACCACTCGAGGAGCGCGCAAGCACGTGAGCCAGATGGCCGAGCAATCATCACGCCAGCATCCAACACGGGTGATGAGATGTCAGCAATTAACAACTTGCATGCCGGCCATCAAGCAATTAGCGCACCAGCGGGCAACAGTCCTTGATGAAGTGAGCACAGTTAATTGCTGTAGGTATGCGGTAGCATGGCGACCGCATCCTATAAATACTGCGACTTCCTGTACACTAGCCACCCTTTTCTGCAACTGTCTCTGATGATGGATTCAAGAGAGAATCCGAAACGTCAGGCGAATAAAGCCATTGTTCCAGCGATCGCTTATTCTTCTGATCAGATATAGGTGTCTTAAGGCAGCCAAATCTATATTACACAGCCGTAGTGACATTAATTTCCCTTCATTCAAAACATGACCGACCGGACCATTTATCCCCGAAAGTCTTAATTAGACGCGTGAATTCCACCAGAGCAATTATTTACATTTGTCCGTTACTGTTTAGCTACACAAGTACAATCTACGACCTGTAGCATGACAATGGAAACTGTTCCGCAAGCCCTTTTTAGCCCGTCGAACATCACATAAGATCAATAGGCATTCCGTTGCTGGGGTAGAAATTGAAATTCTAGCAAACGTTAGGTGCAAACTTCCGTCCCGACTAATCAAAAAGAATTAATGTTTACGAATTCCATTTCGTCCAACCGATTGTCCGAACGTACTGACAGCATGTCATGTTGTAAAGGTACAGAGCATTTTGCGTTTTAGTAGACTTTCGCACCCCCTAGAGCACTTGCTTCTCCCTGACTCACATCACTCTAGGAGCAAGACAGTCAGAACCGGAGACGGTTTCGGGCTCAATGCCTGCCAAAGTTAAATGGCCTGTGTACATTTGTCATAAGCGATCTGGCCCAAACAGGGGTTCTTTCAAGTGTGGCACACACATGCGTGAGTGCAGTAAATGCCACATTAAGGATTGTGTTATCCCGTCAATTGGTAGCCTTATAAGCCACAACGACTCAAGTGAGTTAAATCTTTTCTAGTGAGGAACGCACTGATGCCCCCTAGGAGTGGGTTCTCCAGGATCAGCCTCATTTTCCTTCACCTCTCTCGGGTACCAGTCGACTGTCCGAGTGTATCAACTATCTGTTGCTGGGATTGGGCGCAGTGGCTGACGCGGCGTGAAGGCCTCTGTCTAGGCATGTAAGCAGTAGAGGCTTCAAAGGAGTTTGTCTACATCTACAATAGTGGTTATGGGTTTGAAGGGATCTGCGCAGCCCGATTAACGCGTGTCGTGAGCCAGTCTGACCCCTTTTCTCTTTAGCGTCCTACAGCAAAGTCCTTTGTGAAACCATTATAAAGATGTTAAGAAACTTATGCTGAACAGCCAGTAGGCTAATTTGATATGTGCGAATGAGAACGCATAATCATCGCTACCACTCTTTTTACAAGACCTGCCGCCACTGTGATCTTGTCTCTTTAATTGACTTCGATTAATCGTCAATCAGCTAAAATTGTCACTCTTTCGGCCAGCTGCCATATCACAGAATCCAAGGGGGCAGATGAAACCAACTTGTTGGAAAATAAAGTTATGAGTGACACGCTTGCGAATTTGACCCAATCTTTGGCAAATGTCAGCGATACGATTTCTGTCAGCTTCTTCAACCTGGGACACGGTTACACAGTACCCAGAAAAGGAAACAAGTTGAACTTTCCACACTGACTGTCTGCATGAGCCCTTTTTCAGCTCGGGGGAAGTTAAGGAAGCAAATGCCATTCTCCTTAAGCCATACAAGGCTAGCCCAACCCAACGAACCGCGTTGTGAGGGGATTTGCTCCTGTTGTTGCATAGGAAATTACTAATCTTGGCATGATTGGTCCCCGATCAATCCGCCATAGCGCACTCAACATAGTATTTAGTAGTCCAGAAACCCAAGTATACTGCAGATCGTTAGTTAGTGGTTGCTAGGGGTGGTTTGGTGAAGAACTGTTTTTTTTTCAACACGAATTCGGAACCCGATGTCTGGGGTGCGCTTCTGCTAAGTAAGCCTGCATATTAAGTGAGCAACCGGTAAGAGAAGAACCTATGCTACCAGAGGCAAAAACCTTCGCGCCTTTCATAAAAAGGAGTAATACAGAATGATTGGCCAAGATATGATGGAGTATGCTGCGTGCAACTCTCTTTCATATTTCATTTTTCGCGCATCTTTCAGGAAAACAGGGTTAAGTTAGCATACCGCAATGTTAGCTACAACGCACAGTTCAGAAATGCATATTTGTTGGCCAGTCTTTACTAAATGAGAGCACACGAAGGTCTGTTTGGAGTGCGTGACCTGTTTTAAGCACAGGCCAGTTCCAAATCTTACTTGCGCCCTCAGGAAAGCTGGCATGGTTTTGAAGTGACCCCACACCTGAACTGGGCTGCAGAGAGTTCCATGGTTGTAGCCTTCCACAGGGAGAATCCGTGCCTCTCAGTACCTTGCGCTCGCTTTCGTTCTGACTGAGCCGCAATCGGTCTTGGTGGAGAATGAACAATCACCACTTCCGGTGCTTTTGGTATAACTGAAACTCTTCACCATGCCTTTAGGTGTTAGCCGTCAGCACTTTAGATGCTAACGTCTTGAGCATGGAAAAACTGCCCGCAGTGGTTAAACATGTCTGACAGTGCTTCAAAGAGGTTTCCCGGCCGTCGCTGAAGTTCTTAGAAGCACGGACGTCAGTAACAAATAATTTAGACAGTTTCACACCTTAATAGGATGGAAAGGGTGTTCATTGACCACGTTACGAGACGTACTCTGATAATATGATTTCGGGCGACGTAACTTCCACTTTTTAGTTGAGCCTTGAGCTGGTTTTAAAAGGTTACCAATTTTTGCCCCAGTTTGACACGGCTTTTGGCGATTAAGTTCGGGCTTACTGAAGAACTATCTCTCCAACCCAATCACCAAGAATACTTGATGCGCTGACAATGAAGCAAACCTGACTCATTCGAACTTGCTCCGGAGTTTAAGACCTCCATCCTCTATCAAAAAAACAGAAAATGTCATATTAACCTAAAGGACGCGTAAGCCAAAAAAGAATAACAAAAGGCGTTGCAAAACCGTGGCCACGTAAATGATGCGGAAACAGTGATTATTATGCTGATCTCCCTCTCTGATAAATTGCCGTTTGTTGGATTCAAGCTACACTCATTACTTTCCTGGCAGCACCAGACAGTGAAGGCTAAAGTAGAACCGTTGTTGTTTGATTTTCCACGGCCATTTACAATTAACTGGCGGACTAATTAGCAGAATGTTAAAGCGTTATGTCCCTAACTTGACAAATTTTATTTATTTTAGCCCAACCAAAATAGGCGACCTCGGTGGGGTGTGAACCCACGACAGCTAGGGGAACGTTTGAGCACATCCGACGCTCTTGTCAGCTCAGGTACGAGGGCCCACCGGAAGCCGTGGGGTTAATAACATTTGGATCAAATTACCGGCCCAGCCATCCTATTGCAACATATGGAAACAAGCAAATCTGGTGAAGTTGTCTGACTGTCCAAGAAGGATTTCCTAAGTAATCTATCTAGGATCCACCAGATGACAACCAGGTAACTTGACATAAATGCGATTAAACTCACAGGTCCTGGTAAGGCCACCTAGCTCAGGGGGCTGGAGCGTTGGCTTTACTCAAGTTTGCCTCTTGCAGTCGTGAGCTCGAATCCCATCGAGATCGCCGAGTTTTTCACAGATGAGTCAAAATTAATTATTCAAAGTCCGCCAAAATAGCTAGAAAACTCTTTTTAGCCAACATTTGTGCATTCACTGAATGGCCTCCAAACGAAATTCAAAAGAATCTACCGAGCCTGGCAGGATTTTCGGAGTTTAGATCAAAAAACCCTTCTAAGCCATTAATGACAAAACCAGGACAGAGTCACTGCTCGTTGAAAATATTTCGGGTCTACAGGATTATACTCAACTAATAATACCTAGCAATCAACTCGGAGTTAACACTTCTCTCTATGGTTTCAATGTGTACGCCTTCTTACTTGTAAGATGTTTGTGGCATGTCTTCAACTCTACAATAGAATGATTTATGGTGGGAAGGTTTATTTTTAAATCTATCGTTACCGACCTATCCCAGGCGATCGCGTGCGCACCGACCCAGAGGTTGGAGGAGACTAGCACACAGGCCTGTTCGGGTGAAGGGCTGTCGAACACGCGAACGCTCCAGGGCATCTGTCCATAGACGTCAATATCGTTAGAAATACTGGTTAGCAGCGGGAGTCCACGCTCAGCGTGGTCATTCAAACCAACCAGCTTCGTTTCCGCCAGCTCATCCTCCTCTTCCTTTTCAAAAGATTGTTCTGAGGCCTCATCAAAGGCCAACGACGCTGGGTTCAACCTAGGGGTGAGGAGAAAATAGATTTTATAATTAACCAAGACTACATAAGTTTGCAATAATTGTGTTGGCACGACGACGTCACTTTAACTTCCTGAATCTTCTTCTTATTCGGATGAAGTAGATCCATGGGTTTTACAAAATTCTTAATTAAAATTGTAGTTATTTGAATGTCAAACCATAAGTGACTTAACCTAATGTTCGTCAACTTTGTATTAGAATTCGTCATACCTAAAGGTAAGTGCATGCACTCAGAAATATCTGTAAGCGGTTTATTTATTTGATGGAAAGGAAAGGCCGAGCTCACGCACATCTTGACACAAATGGGCAAGTTTGTTTGAACTTATTTCTTGTGGCGTACCTACAGCCGTTATGAACTGACAGGAGAATTGATTCAGTTATCCTTCATTCAATTACTAATGCCCATCAATGCCACGGGACAGAGACGGTCAAGTTGCCGTCACTGGCCAGGGGTACCTAATGGCATGTCCTTTAGGATAACGATAACTCCCGTAGCTGTACGGTCACTCCCGATTCCTCGATTTAGTCTAACGACCGTTGCTCTGCAGTATAGCAGAGAAGGTGCTCAGACTGCCGCAAACTGCGGAAAATTGGAAAGTAACTCACGAGGCACCATCTATGCCGGTCAGTTCAGGCGTGGCCATTGTCGTTAGAAGTACATGCAAACAAAAACCTGGTGGACTCCAGTTAACGCTTAAGTGGGCTTAGTGAATACTCATACTTCGCTCCTGCCGTGGCACCCAGCCCTCATCTGGTGCTCCACGACGGCCTGCTGAGTACAGCGGCCACACCCCGGTAACCGTCGCTGACCGACAGGTTACCAGACACTTGCTCATCGTGTCTATATGCGGTAGATGCGTTGGACCAACACAGGGGATAGATCGGAGTCCGGCTGGCGTTGCCGGAAAGAACACTCATAAAAATGCCAACATTTGGGGTGTGGCAGCACGCCTAGTCGCAGGTCCGAACCGTGAAAATTTGGATCCGTACCACCCCTTTCTGTTCCTGGTATAAAATTCTGGTCAATATACATTGTGGATCAAAAGATGCATTGGCACGCGGAGACACGAGTTTTCTCCTTGTCAGCAACCTGCGCCTCTTCCGTCTCCGGTCCTCTTGACTCTGTCTTGACACCGCTGCTAGGTGGGGTAGGAGGAGAGCGTAGTAGACGCAGCATAAGTCTACTACCCTTATAAACGAATTAACACAGAGATCACCGTCTCTGCTTACACCCTGATATAAAGCACACGGCGGACACCGTTGGTCGCGGCGGTCGAACTGTCGTGGTTATGTGTGTCTTCACAACCGGGTGCTCCCAAACTAACCCTTAATCTCCCTCCATGCTCACTGTGGTCGCGCAGGAACTTCGCCTCTTATATGTTCCCAACTTTTGTTTGCTGATTTCGATCGTGAATACAAAATCTAGGAAGAAAAACGCTCATTTTCCGGTGATCGAATTTCGGAGACGACGCAATAAGCAACCCCATTCAGAATGTGGAGGACAGGCCACCGGTGGAAGTAGGAGTTATATGTGTGGGGCCAATGGAAGGGAAAGAACTCTATTAACAATGCGAATTTTTGGAAAAATGTTCTAATTCCTCGTATAAGTTAAAAAAGATTCGTGCATGACCTTGAATGGGAGCCGAAAAACTGAATACTAACGAAATTTAACACCAAAAACCGAAGGAAGCTAAATATAGCGCCTGCACAGTAACAAGTCAAGTTCAGAGATCGAGACAGCGAAACAGCCAATAGGAACCTAAGGACGAGTGATGTTTGCGAATCCCATAAGAGCAAAGTAGGAACGTTGACCCAACGGTACGACGTAATGATGCAGAACTGCTGAACACAGGGAAGCCGCCAAGGTTGCCAAATTAGGGTGTATGCCAACCAACAAATAAACTGAATGTGGTATTTTTGCGAAAATTTATGTTATCTTGGAAAAAGGAAGCGTACCCAAATTCAACAATACTTTCATGTGAATCAGTATGCATTCTTAAGTAATACGCAAAGTTGGGTATTGCATTCTTTTCAGAATTTCTTCTCTAGTTGCAAGTTTTATTAGTTTTGCTGCGATTGTGCTACATGAAAGCCCTCTTGATCGGGAGCAGTATAATTTGCGTATTGACTATTTTGCTAAATATTACAATATTTTCCTTGCCATATATATCGTGTAATAGATTTCTCTTAGCATGGATGCTGTAGTAGGTGTCATTTTCGACTGCTACGAATCTGTGTCGTGTACTTGGCTGCTAACGGGATCTATGTTAATGGTACGGGTGATTCCGGTTGTAGTGTCAGTACTAGAACCAATGAGTAATATAGTTGATGAGTCATGATATTCTCCTGCTGCCATGTTTGGACATATTTACACTAATTCTTTTGTAAATCATAAGTGGACAGATCTGTCCGTTCGTCTGCGCCGCAAGGAGACTACTCAATTATGTCCTGAGACGGAGTTGGGCATGCACGCAAGTGAGTTAATTGGATTTGGACTCAAAAATGTCCGGTAATATTTTGTAGACAAGAGAAAAACATCGGTCTCCTGGAAAGAGTAATACCGCTGGCCGCGAAACAAAGGTTGACATTAGAAAGTTGTCGAAGTGGGCTGTAAGGAAGGCGAAAATTTTGCTTTGCCGGTAGTTACTGAACTATCTCTAAGCATGAACTGGTTATCCTTAACACCCCAGTCATGTGAGTATATGCTGGCGTCCAGGTTAGTCCATCTCGCCTGAAACATCAAAGTCCAAAATCTGATGCAGGTGAAAGGACTTTGGGCATACCATCTAACTCGGCCTTGAGGCAAGATATAGGGTGAGTGGTGCACCCAGTGTTTGAGACCAGGATGACCCAATTGCGCGATCGGCAAGGGAGCGTATTCCAGGTTCCGAATGCATTCCCGTTGCGCTCTGTCCTCTTCCTCCTCCTCGTCATCGTCGTACTCCTCCTCACCCTCTTCGTCTTCAAAGCTAAAGTACCCCTCGGGGGAGACGTGAGTGCAGGCAGTGATGCGTGCAATCTGTGCTCGCAGGTAGTTTGCCTCGGTTCCTGGAAAGATGGGGAAGCTTTCCACGGGGGCGTCTAAGTTGCCGGTAAAAAAGCGGCAGATCTGAACGCAGGGGAAAGGTAAAAAGAAGCGTTACCAGCCTGTCCGAGGGTAGACGAAAGTGGGGTGACGGTATAGCATGTGGCCTCACCCAGTCGCTATGACTAAAACTCGCCTACTTATTCTATTTGGAAGCGTTTTACTATTTTCTGCAGGTAACAGATTTAGAAGAGCTTTGTGCGGTTAGAAGAACACAACCCTCATAGTAATATTACGGACAAAGCTGAACCATTCCAAAAGTCTTAGATTTGGCCTACTCATGAAACTAACGTTAGTGCTATTTAAATACCAACACTAGTAATTAGGGCCAGGTTTAAGGTTAAAGCTAGGTTTGGGTGTTGAGTTTAGGGCCGAAGTTGGGGTTGGAAATAAGATTATGTTTAAGGGTTAAGGATAAGATTATAGTCCCTGTTTTGGTTAGGGCTGGGTTCAATAGTTATGTTAAGGATAGGTTTAAGGTTGCGGTTAATGTTGGGTTTAAGAGTTACAGGCATGCTTGCTTCCAGTTTTATCAGCGGGGCCACATACTATACTGTTGCCGAAGGCAGTACTGTATTCCAGTTTTTGGCATTAAGCAACACCCTAGAGAGCAGATGATAAGGTATTGCTCAATTGGCTGACACCTCTTTGAGGCTAGTCTATGACTGCGGGGTAGATATAGGCAATATTCAGGCGGAACGATTAACTGAATAAATGTGTTAATCTTAGAATCGCAGTCCATAATGAAACAGCCAGTACGAGTTTTTGCTGACAGCTGATTATACGGGCTTTTGTACAGACGGAGCTTACGAAGGGAGGAAGGATAACAAGCTTTTAAGAGGTAATTAATGGTGAAACAGGCTGTGCATATAGGCTAATCAGGCGTTTGTCAAGAAACGCCCTGCCTTGACTCTGATCTTTGAAGCAGTGAACTGGCATTTTACATGACAGACCAGCTAAATCGACAAACTGAGATACACTTGTAGGGAAGAAAGTGCGTTTCTACTTGGAAAGGAGGTGCTAGAATCTTATAAAACTCTTTGACAAACTAACAAGTAACCTGATCACAGAGGCTTTCCACTATCAGTGGCACTGGATACTGAAATATAAAAGCAAATAGTACTACTCCTTTCGTGTGTTTGCCGGCGTTTAATAAATAACGGCGTAAATAAATAAACGGTCGATAATAACTGCTGGAAGTCCTCCAAACTCTTTCCCATTGCAGTGCCTATAAAATGTTATTTGCTTTTTTGGAAGCATACCGCATGGATTAACATAGCAGTAAAAACATTTTCCAGGGAATGAGTAGTGGTACTATGAGAGAACGAAACCATTACCTTCCTACTAACCTCAGTAGGATCGGCACTTCAATAATTCCGTATAAGACTGAAAGACGATATGGATCTCAAAATCTCTACTAATTATAATGGAAATCGGCAATGAATTAAATGCTATTTCGAAACTATAACCTAACAAATGCGACTCTCTTCCAACCAAATTATGCGTTTAGTCCCGAATTGGCTTCGGTATTTTCATTAATTTACTGGATACGTAACACATGCAATTACATTGTGCTAGCTGCCATCCGTATTTTGATGGAAAATCGAGAGCCAACTTATAATTCCCCTGTGTGTAATTAGCAATAGGGAGTTGGAATCCGGGCAAACTGATAAACATCGCTTTCCGACTGGGAGAATTCCATCAAAAAGTATTATATTCTATGTTTTTTCAAATATTCCTGTACGCATATCTTCCAGAATCTATTTTGAAAACATATTGAACTCTTCGAGGACATCTTCAGAAAGTCAAATATGACATTCCATTGAGTCCGCAAAATAGCTGAGGATGTCTTTGAGAGACAGGGACCGGCTCCTCTCTCCGGTTAAGTGATGCAACTTCTCGATGACAGCTGCACTCTGAAGATAATAGGATTAGGGAGACCGAGTTCAAGAGGACAATTATATTGTCATTAGCGCATTTTAACGATTAGTTTGCCTATTTCTAGCTGTCTGCAGGCAAAAAAACCGTGCTATCAAAATCGTTTAGACGAAATTGCACATGGGGCAAAGTCGTAGGGTTTTTTTACTGCAACTTAATTCCGTTCCACAAAGAAATCCCTAATCGCGTAGGGAGAACGAGTCAAAAAAACAATATTTTGCATTCTGTTCACAGGCAGGGCAATATGCTCATCTGCAATGTCCCACTCACTACACACACCGAGCAGTCAACAGAACACCTTACCTGACGCGCAACGCATATCTGCTGAGGTTTGACATGAGGAAGGCGAATCCACCTGCCACCGGGAAAGTGACAAACGAAGTAGACATATTTATTAACGCCTTCACGGAATTCTTCCGGTGGAATTGTTGGCGGAGGCTTCCATCGGTTTTTTGGGAAGTCGTCCTCTGAAGAGAAAGCATCCGTGGTTCGGATAAGGTAATTAAATTATTTGCAAGTTTTCTGAGTCCTACGATGGAAAACGTCCACCAACTGGCGCTGATTAACGAAGCAGTGAATTACGTTAACCTTGTGCGCTATTCACCTCTGGGTCAAGGGGTGCATTTTTATTGACAAAACGTCAAAAATGGTTACTTTTGGATGACTCCAGGTTTTGCCTAAAAAACGAAAAATTGGGGTTGTTTCTGGAGCAAAAACGAAGGTCGAGTGCTTTTGTGTCGTCCAGGACTTTGAAAATTATAACCGGCTATTGAATTCAAGAAACGAAGGAATTTTATTTCTGTTGCGCATCGGTCTGACCAATGTCACGGCTTGGGAAATTACTAACACGACTAAAACAGTTTGATACTAATGATTTAGAAATTCGTACATAATCTAAAATCCGTTAAATTAAAGTTTCTTGGAGGATCACTCTGCGCCACACGAGTTATAACATTGCTTCCAAAGTAGGCTTTACACTTACATTTACTACTTTGCAAAAAACTGTCTAAATAGCTTGTTAGAATATTCATTGGCGATGCTGAAAAGCCTAAAATTTCCAAAGAAAACTTCAAGCTTCTTATTTTGACTCGTCTCGGCTTCATCGTTTTTTCATCTCAGAAAAACGACCCCCCTGTCAGAGGAATGTGTATTCACTGCAGTCGACTTGGCATAAGGCTACCACAAGAGGGCATGTATTCTTACCGGCTGTTATACTTTGGAAAAAATTACACAGGTCAAGAACGGTATCCAAAGAAGCCATTTTTTCGTCACTTTTCCGCACTCTTAATAATGCATTCACAGTCTCACTTCCAAAGATTTTCCTGGAAAACTCAGTGGTAAATTATTTTCTATGTGATGTTTTGTGCAAGTCACAAAAGTTTATTTCATTATTATTGTGCAAAACCCAAAACAAGCGGGAATACTGAAGATCTTAATCAGCAAATAAGCTAAATACAGTGCCAAAGGTGTGACCATTTGTTTAAGGCATAGTCAAAAAATGACTTTGTCTGGAATCAGTATATTTTTTCCGGTCATTAAGCCAATTTCGTATAAATATGATTAGAATTCTGCTACAAGTTAAAATAATCAAAAGCCAGTAATGGCGGGGCTAGTATCTGAAAATACACTTTACAACAAAGCAAGAGGGAGTACTTTTAAAAGCTTATAAAAACCGTCGTGTTACTCGAACGCTAAAGCCGCAGTAACCTACTGATTGCGTCCGGGTAAAAACATGCTCTTACCCGCAATAAAACAGTAATTTACGGAACAGAACTAAATACAACACCCAAAGAAATAAAGATCAAAGTAACGTGCATAGACATAGAAGTTCAACAAATTGATGAGATTGACAACATAGCAATGAGAGATTATATGAAGGCACTCGATATTTTAGAATATACGTTTTGCCATGTATGGTGCATGCCGTCTGCATATTCAAAGTTGCCCGATATACAAAAACACTTTTAGCATGCAATCATAAGAAATCCTTGGGAAGAAGCCGGTCAAGTAAAACGTGCCATGCAATAGACTTTACAACCCGACCTGGTACTTACAGTGGACTTGGTTTTTAAACAGAAAACACTTATTCTGAAATTAAAATACGGATCTATTGCTACTATTTTGCCCAATAATTCCAACTCAAACTTAATGGCGGGACGAATCTCCAGTGATTTAATCATCAGTCAAACCAGGTTGATGAGGATGTTGTGACAAGAATATGAAGATATGCAGTTCCTCGAGCAGCACCAACTCCTTTCTGATGCCCAACACGGCTTTCGAAGTGGTAGGTCCTGCCTCACGAATCTGCTCTTTACGCTCGAACGCTGGACCAAAGCACGTGATGAAGGCAAGGTGGTGCACGCCATCTACATCGACTTCAAAAAGGCTTTCAACAGCGTTCCTCATCAACGTCTCTTGTACAAACTGCGCAACGCTGGAATTCGTGGACGCCTTCTTGTATGGATCCAGAGCTTTTTGGCTGGACGGTCCCAGAGAGTGCAGGTCGGGCGCCAACAGTCCTCAGATGTAAGCGTGGTGAATGGCGTCCCACAGGTCTCAGTCTTAGGTCCCACGTTATTCCTCGTTTTCGTAAATGACTGCGTCAAGGACCTAGACTGTGATGCCATCCTGTTTGCCGACGACATAAAATTGTGGAAAGTTATTCACGATGCGGCAGACGCAGACCACCTGCAAGCAAACTTGAACAGGCTCGAAGACTGGTCGAAGCGCTGGCTTATGCCCTTCAATATAAGCAAGTGTAACTTTCTTCAACTCGGCGGCTTCAGAGCCCCCAGCCCCAGAACTTACTTTCTACACGGCACACCACTGCAACAGGTTGACAGTCAGAAGGACTTGGGTGTATGGATTACATCTTCACTCAAACCAACACTGCACTGCGCGAAGGCGGCTAAATCGGCTACGGCCACATTGCAACTCATTAGGCGAGCATTTATGGGATTTGACCCTGACTGCTTTTCCAAAATATTTGGCACCTTCGTGCGACCTCATCTAGAATACGCCATACAGGCGTGGAGACCCTGGACTGCCAAGGATTATACCGTCTTGGAGAAGGTCCAGAGACGGGCGACCAAAATGACACAAGGTCTGGGAGCACTGCCCTATGAAACCAGACTGTCAGTCCTCAACCTGTTTCCCCTTTCCTACAGGCAATTACGTGGTGACCTTATACTAACATTTCGCATCATCAACGGCCTAGACTGTTGTTTAGATCCCACTGATTATTTCACCCAAGCTAACACGCCCAATTTGCGCGGTCATCCCCTAAAACTACGCGCAGGGAAATCTAGAACCAATGGACGAAAGTCCTTTTTCAGTAACAGAGTGGTTGCAGCCTGGAATGCCCTACCTACCGATGTTGTAACCTCCTCCTGTGTGAACTCCTTCAAGTTTAGACTTGACCTGCATCAAGCTTCCCAATTACCACCCCCACATCCACTCACATAACCCGGTACCATCTTATATGTGTTTATACTACTTGTAATTAGTACGTAACCATTAATGATTACTCTTTTTCGGCTAGCTGCCAGCTGTCCGCGAGTATGTACAAAATCCCTTTTTCACCTTCCCATTTATCCATGTTTTTCTCCGACGACTTGTAACCAAGAGGGAATTCAAAGGCGCTTGCCTATATTTCCCTTAATAAACTGATACTGATACTGTAGATCTCAGCAAATGATCTTGATCGTTAAGAATGCGCCTGAGCGACTAATGACGTAACAGAACAGAAACTAGATATCCAGATCTCCGTTGTCCATATTTGCAATGCATTGGGAGTAAGGAGTTTGGGATAAATGTCAGCAGTTTGCCGCAGTCTAGCTACATGTAAAAGTTCCAAAAACGGAATAAAATTTGACGTATTACATAGAGGTTTTATATTAATTATTTATTTTTTATTTAAATTAAAAAGCAAACTTCCACCTAACTGGTGATTTAAGGAAAGCATTCGTCTCATAGTTTACATGGTAGAGAATGAAACGAAATTTATGCCTCAGGTATACTGAAGCGTAACGTTGCTTAAAACCACATCAACTTCTACTAGTTAGCTTGATGTGTTTAAACAGTTCTTTATTCATCTGACCGCAGTTATAGCCTATATGCCACCAACAAATGACTATTCTTAAAATGCCCGACCCATTCAGGCATTTTTCGGGCATGTTCTTCGTCGTTCACCTCAAGAGCTCAGTGCTACTGCCCTCGATCCGGCACCATTGCCCCAGTGGAGGCGTCTAGGAGGGGGTCAGTTCAAAACCTAGCTCGACACAGTTCGTAAAGACATGGAGATGGTTCTTAGACGTTCGGTATTCGGTCTCCGTCGTTGGCAAAGGGAATGGGTTGAGCTGTCCAGATCTGCTGCCGCGGATCGTCACGCGTGGAGAGGTATAGTTCGGGACATCATCGAGGCCGGCTAGATCAGGCATGATCGCAGCCGTATCAAGTACAATGATTCTTAAAATTATTATTTAGTTCCCAGGTTGGAAGGGCGACATCTTCATGGAAAGAAGTCGCCGAGTAGAGCATCACTGTATTTTAGCCAACAGAAACACAGGAAACAATAAATTCTGCATTTCCGTTTACTTTAGCCTACAATAAAGGTTAAATATTCGTCTATATTTCTTACCTCTAATTAAATATTTTCGACCACCCTGGCTGTTTCTTTAACTTATCGTGCTCACCTTTTCCCAGTTTGAGGTATTTGACAAATATTCATGTTGGAGCACTGTTTTCCTGGAATAAATTTGAACAAAGCGAATGCGACGAAACGTGCAGGATTTATTGACGCCATAAAGTTTTGTGACCTTTGGACGTTCTTGTACCCAGGTGAGCAGATGGCTCTATTCAGAGATTTGTCTATCGAAAAGCCACCTAAAAATGACACTATATTTACTTCCTCAGTTTCGCTCCCATTCAGAAAAAAACAAAACTTTGTTTTATGCCTCTTCAACATAACCAATAGGATCTGTTCCTCAGACACGATCGACGACTAATAAGTTTCCAAAAAACGTTTCACTTGGAAACTGGTATCCAGAAAAATTTCTCGATAAGTATCGACAGCCTAGACAAAAAAAATCGGTGAGCATGAACCTCCCTTTCAAAGTTGCTATTGTGTCAAATATGATCAAGCTACGATTTCGGTGCATGATTGAACGGACGTACGTCGCCTCTAGTTTGTTGTTCATGAGCACTGCAGCGGCTATTCCAGTTAGACCAGCGGGACATTCTGCCGATGCACACGACATAAAATTGTATTTATGAGGTTACATATAGTACGGATGAAAATACACTGTACGCACGCAAAGGAAGTTGGCAGTTTGCTCAGCTAAACACAAGCCGCAGTGGCTGCTAAGGGCAGAAAATAAGGCACCCAGGAGTTCAGTTACGCAGGACTTAGGAGACATGGGCTATATGTGGACTCAGCGACTGCATTTATGGTCGTTTGAATGACGATTGGCGTCTCAAGCGCTTTGCCGAGACCGCTGCATTATGAAGGATAAAGCCGGAACTCTCTAAGCAGCTGGATCACGTGATCAGCCTCGCACTGCAATAGTAAGGATCGATAACGATCATACCCTCATCCCCATACCCGTTCTCCCATTCCTCTCCCATCGCTGGTGCCGAATTTTGATCACGTCTAACAGGTGTTCGCTGTAATGCGAACGCGCTTGCTTAAATAACCTCCCTCTGCCTTCTCCATCGTCGTGCGCACACATTTATCAGACCAATGATGTTTTACTTATCTATCATGTTTCTTATCTCTATGAATGAACAGTTTCCTTATCTTATTAATTTGCAATAACCGTGTGTAGTTGAATAAGAGGCCATGAAATACTATGTCATCAGAAAATACTGCACGCATCGCCGTCTTTGCGTTTTTCAAAAAGTCATGTGCTTTGTTTGGTCATAAAACATCCACGAGTTTGGTAAAAAAGACTTCCAGGTAGTTGGTCCAACGAAGAAAAGCAGTCGTTTCTTGTAAAATGTGTTGTTATCTAAAAAAACGTTGACTAGTCTACGGTTTTTAGATAACAACAAATCCTGCTACCTGTCCATGTCCATTAATAGCTATTAATATACATGGACAGATAACAGGATTAATGAGCAAATGTTGTAACAGGGTTTGGTAGACATAAATGCATGTTAAGACTGGCAAAAAGTTGACATGATAAAAATATCTTTAAATTCCCAGCAAAATACCTGTCAAAGATAATTTTTCCTCGTCACCGACAAAATTGGTGTCTTTTTCTTCAATCTCATCCTCATCATCAGAATCTTGGATTGTTTCACCTTCTGCCACTTCCGTTTCAACTATATAATAATTTTGTAGAATTCCAAATATTTTTCCCCAAAAGCGAACATGAGTCAGGGGATATTTCTCAATAAGTGACTTCATCGCCAAAACCAGCTTAACATACTCATCGCTACTTAACCCGACACTGCAGCGTCGATGGAAAAAATATAAATTCATTAAGTTCGGCAGTGGGCCGTCGCTATCGTCAACTTTTCTTTCGAAACTCTCCTCCTCGACCTAATTTTTAAATAATCTTGATAAATAAAAACGACCGAGAATAGTTTCTTTTCAGCTCGCGACACAGCGACAGTTATTGGTTTTTCCAACATATTCCAAAATTGTCCTTTGTGCTCTTGTTTGGCAACACCACTAAGACCCCGCAATGAGTAAGTAGACGGGCGAGGTTCACGTGATATTGCAAGTCTTATACAATCCTTTAAATGGTCATATCTTTAAAATGCCATTAAAAAATATGTTACATGTTGTAAGAATCCTTGTCCCTAAGAGCTATTAGCTTATTCTTGTACTTTTCCGTCTCCATCTCAAGGCGTGATTTCATTTTTGAAATATTAACAGATAAATGTCATGACTATTGAGAGTCGGTCAAATATTGAGTAATTTAAACACAACAGTGGCCTAAATTAGTTTTTCTTACATATAACAAAATAATCTGGAAAATGGTGAAGATTAGTTCTTCGCAGGCATCTAGGACATTTGGATTTTTTAAGGGGTCAATCACGGTTCCACTGTATATCAACGTGGCCAACCCGGAGTGTAATGGATACGAAATAAGTACGAATTATTTCCGTTGTCCAGGTATATGACAACAAATTGCACAAAACTCCGCCCGCTTACACACAAGAACTGAAAGTCAGATTCTTCTTGCGAAACCTATAGGATATCAACTCGGGCGCTCATGTACACGACGAATGACAATCCCTGATAACCAGCAAGATTAGTTGAGACGTGCCCATGGGTATTTTTTTCGAGATATGAAATCGTGACCAGCCAATTGCCTTTTTTTCTAAATGAATACAGCAGATTTTAAACTCTGGCTATTATGTGGAAGAGTGAGGCAAGCTTTTTGGAACATTCAGGATGTCAGGAAAACCGACTAATTTCCCGGATATTTGATTGACGGACTATTGCACTCTCAGAAAAGTCGATTTCGAGTCGATGAACTCGTATTTTAATACGTGAATACAAATTCCCTGCATGTTTTCATTAGTCGATTGCACTTGTTTCGATGAACTGTGTCGAATTAATTTTTTTTCTACGCCTAACCATTTACACCTGACCTAATGTTACAATCGAAAAGGTCATATAATGCTACAGGGATGTCTTTGCTATCAATCCAAACTCTCAAATTAAGGAAGACATTAAGGTAAGGAACTTTGCTTACAAAGCATTTTCTAGGATGCATACGGACAATGTGGATAGTAATCTTCCTAACCCGCCAGCTTGCCAGTCATCGCGAATTTTTCGGCCTAATTTAATCGTTAACAGTTCTCTTAGAGAGCTTAGTCCGATTTAAAATATAAGTTCCCCTCATACTACGCCAGGTATTCTCAAAATCCCATTTCCGTCTGCTTCTGCTTTGTGACCCCACGCAGCATCATTCCTTCGCACATATCATACCTAAATGTGCTTCCGTAAAATAATGCCACTTCAGTTAATAGTAGCATGTCCACAAATTTTGCATCGCAGATATTTTGCCTTTCCCGTCCCATTTTAACCGCCAATTCTACCTTTTTTATAAACAGAAATTAGCAAAACCCACATCTCAGTAATACGCTGAGTGTCGTTCCCCTCAAGACAATGCTATTCCTACAAACGATGGTCCAGAGTATAACCACAGCCTTCAAGATTGTCCCAGAAGTTTTGAGCATTACAGGATCTTGGGCTCATTCTCTAAGTTCCAACTCGGTGCACATTATATATAATCTTAATCTATTCCTAAAAGCCGCGTCGGAAGAGGTCGCGATGGTATTCATATAAATGTGATTTCACCAATCGATGTTTATTCCACTTTTCCCACAAAGATCGTGTTTCTGCATATCTGGAAAACGTGAATTTATCCTTTTTTGTGACCGTAAATCATGCAGCGAAAAACTGGGTACCTATTCTCATAAAAGCCATCGCCTTCTTAGTTAAACGCCCACCAATACAGTCACAATGCGACAGACGTCGAGAGGTAATTTATTCCTACTCATTTGAAACCTAACTCACTGCTTCCCCCCGCTTCTCTACCTCCCACACTCATAATACTTAACATCTTCCTCTCCCCCCAGATTAGCAGCATCTTCAGTTGTCGTTTCCAACTCTCCTGGTAATCCTCGCAGAAAATCTATGAATCCCTATACTTCAGTTAAACCGAGAGCATCGACACTTCAATGAAGTTCTCCGAGTCCTTTTTTCAGACCGCCTGGGGAACGCTGTAAGAATGACGTGATTCAAAGACTCAATCCGACTTTGACCCAGAACAACGGTAGTGTGGTTACTTTAAGTGGTAGGTTGCCCCCTCTTAATTTTACTAAGCCTAAACTGAACTTGTAATAAACTCCGAGGGTCAAGGTTTGCGTCTAAATAATACTTTGTTCCGCATACCGGCCACCAACCAATGCCGTAATATTTATCCTGACAATAATTCTCATGAAAGTCGCTCTAAATAATTTACCCTCTAACCTGGTCCAGGCTTCCCACTACGCAAAACTAATAGCATCAAAGATATGCCACCCTAAATCATTAAAACTCCATCTAAGATCTTATCCCCCACATATTAATTCTAATAGCTACCCGCTCAGTAATCTGCCTCTTACTTTTAGGCCTCCTTTAGAAGTTAACTACCGCAAAATCTACCCATTTAAGTTAGTTTTAAGTCAGTTTATTAAGGGTATGAGGCTTTCGTCCTTGAGCTCCCTATTCATATCCCTAAGCACAAATATAATCATCAATTACATCAGCAAATGCAAAAATTTAAAAGTCAGCGGTAAGTGTGAGCCAGACACAAACTGCCGCCGCTAAAATAATCCTGATTATATGTACAGTAGTTTCTCAACAAATGAGCATCTAGTCTACACTTAAAGGATTGGACACTTTCGGAAAGAACCACGGCATCAGGGAGTCTGTTCCATGTCCAATGACCCTGTGAGAGAAGGCGTTTCGTTGGACGTTCGAATGATCCAGCTTCCTCTGCATATTGAAGGGATGACCACGTAGACGGTCAGTCCCGGCCAATTCAAAGAATTCATCATAGTCTAGGGCGGACTCACGGCCTCTGAAAATCCTGTAGGTTTGAATGAGATCGCCGCGCAGTTGCCTGTAATTTAGAAGAAACAGATGTAGTTCGCTCAGTCTGGTTTCGTAGGGCAGATGATGAAGTTTCTGAACCATTTTCGTAGCCATCGCCTGTACTCCTTCGAGTCGTTAATAATCGTTTTTCAACCACGGTCGCCAGACCTGGACTGCATACTCTAAGTGAGACCGGACGAATGCAACATAGGTCTTCCCGAATAGCTCTTAATCGATCTGCACAAATCCTCGCCTCAGCACAAATAACACCCTTATCGCACATTTGACGGCCCTTTGACACTGTGATGATGGCTTCAGCGGGGAGATTATTAGGATGCCGAGGTCCTTCTGTTCCACAACACTTGAAAGGGGCTACCCACCCAGGACGTATTGAAAGGAATCGTCCTCCTTACTGGTCTTTTTTGTGCAGAGTCTCAGGAACACACATTTGTCCACATTAAAATTAAGGAGCAAACGAGCTGGCCAACTGCTCAGGCGGGTGAGACTGTCTTGAAGCGCTTACCTGTCTGCGTCAGATCTGATGGCTCTCCACAGCTTAACATCGTCAGCAAACATGATAGCGCTGCATCCCAGGTCGTCGACGCAGTCGTTAATGTAGATCAGGAATTTCAACGGCCCCAAGACGGAGCCCTGTGGTACACCACTAAGAACGGGGGTAGGAGTTGACCTTGAGATCTCAATGCAAACGGTTTGTGATCTCTCGGTAAGAAAATCTGTTATCCATGTCAGCAGCCTTCCCCTTATCCCAATTTCAGAAAGTTTGTAGATTAGGCGTTTGTGTGGGACGCTGTCGAACGCCTTCTTGAAGTCTGTGTAGATGACATCGACCCTACCATCCTCGTCCAGTGCGCGAGTCCACTGCTCCGTCGACAGCAATATACTGGAAAGGCACGAGCGGTACTGTCTGAAGCCGTGCTGCATGTCTGAGAGTAAGTGGCCCTTCTCCAGAAACATCACTGTTCTTTCTTAACAATTGCTTCAATTATTTTACAGCAGATACACGGTGAAATAACAGGCCGGTAATTGTTAGCATTAACGCGAGCTCCACCCTTGTATATCGGAAAGATATTTGCTGTCTTCCATTCCGATGGCAACCCCCTAATTCGAATGACGAGCGGAAGATTTGTGCCAGTGGTTTGGAGAGTTCATTCATCAATTCTTTCAAGAATTTGTCCAGTATATTCCCTGGATCCGAGGACTTTGCTTCCTTGAGATTTTGCAGCTCCTTTTCTTAGACAGCTGTCGGGAAGAGTGTAGAGTCGGGTACGGGACCAGCGGTCGCAACAGCATTGCTGGCACTGCGAATGCGAAACTCTGTTTCTTTAGTAAAAACCGAGGCAAAAGACTGTCCTATGTGTTCGGCTTTCCCGCTGTTCTCAATGATTTCTACGTCATTATCATCCTTCAGTACTGCGACCGGGCCCTTGTTTTTCAGTCTACTGTTAAGATGGTGAAATAAAATCTTGGGCTTTTGCTCAGCCTGTCGGATGATTTTGGATTTATATCCCTTCCGTGCTTGATTGTCGCATTTTTTAACTTCATTTTGTTGACGACGAAATTCTTCGAAATGCGCAGGTGACGCAGTTTCCCTGAATATTTCCATCTTTTGCTTTTCTTCCGTAGCTGCCTATTTAGGCCCTTAGTTAACCAAGCAGGTCGACTGGTTGTTTTTTGTACTTTAGTTGGAGAACAGCGCCGAATCAGATCGAGTGAAATCGTCTTAAAACATCTCCAGTCGTCCTCCGGATCTCCCCTGAGAAATTGGTCCCGATTCACGGACAGCAATTCGTTCTTCATCGTGTTTGAATCTGCCTTCCATATATTAGGTTGGCCCTCTGTTCTCCTCTGGCGTTGAGAGAAGAGCGAATAATCCCAAGCGCAGTATGGTCACTTTTCCCTAGAAGTGCATTGGAATACACTTCGTCGATATTAGATAAGTCCTTAGTAAGAACTAGGTCGAGACAATTCGCTGTCTGGTTCTGTCGAAATCATGTTGGTTCCTTCTCATGTTGCGCCA